CCCCCTCCTCGACTTTTCGGGCTGAGCCCCCCCCCTCTACCCCCGGGGCAGGGCTGGCTGAGCGGAGCCCCGAGCTTGCGGCTTCCAGCGCCGGGCTGGGACTGCACCCCTCCGTCCTCCCACCCCCCAAAGCCCGGGAGGGTCGCTCTGGAGCCGCACCTGGCCGGAGAATAAGGCAGCCACGAGCAGCCCGCGCGGTGCCCGGACCCCCCCCCCTTCCCCCCAGCTCATTTAAGGAGCGCTGAGCGAGCGTGGCTTGGAAAAGAGCGGAGGCGGTGGCCGTCCCCAGCCCGTCCCCGGGGGCGCCCTTCATCAAGCGGAGGGAAAACACCGGAGATGGACACGTTATCTCTTCTCTCCCCCCCCCCCACCAGCCCGGGGAAAGCGGTGTTTATGGAGCTCTCGGCAGCCCTGCTCCTACTTGCATCCCCCCCCCCAAATAATAATAGCCCTTGGCCCCAAGCAACGTGCCGGCTTGCTTGCTTGTGCTGGGAAGCTATTAAAAGGGCGCCGTCCCGAAGAGCTTTTCCTCCTAGTTAAAGTAATCCGGACCTCCTCCTTAATCCGATTAAGGAACGGCTTTCCGAAACCCCTCCGGAGCCTGCTCCTCGGGGAGGGGGGGAGAGGGGGGCTGGCTGTGCCTCCTCTTTGAAGGGAGTTGAGAAACCTGGCTGGGTGGTGATGCTGGCCTAGGGGAGAGGGAGGGAGAGAGGTCTCTTTCTTCCTGGCTCTGGGCTGGAGGAAACGGTCTACTTGCCAGGGCTGGAGGACTGTTTTAAGGGGGGGGGGGGGGAGAAGAGGGAAGGGGGGGGCCCCCCGGCAGGGGGAAGCAGCTCTGGCTGCTTTTCCCCACCGCCACTTTGGGGGGGGGTTAGACAGCAAGGAATGGCATGGGGATGAAGGGGGGACAGTCTTGGATCTAGGCTGCACCTCTGGGAGATCTAGACTTAAATCTCCAGGTCAGCTTGCTTTTCAGGAAGGGGGGTCTAGTCTTGGAGTTCCTTGTAGATGGCCAACCCTGTAATCTTGAAGGTTGGCTGGATTCAGGTAAAATGGTCCAAATAGGTAGAAAAGAGAGAGAGAGAGAGAGAAAAAATCTTTGTTTCTAAAGGCACTCTATGTAAATGACAATAAATGTGAAAGGGCTATGAAATTGCTGCCGTGAACAGATCTGGTGTGCCTTTATTCCCCTTTGCAAAGCCAGGTTGGATTCCCTCGACCTGCAAGACTGCATGTGGGATTGATCTCGCCCCCTGCGCCTTCCGATGTGCTGGGTTTTTAAACAACTGCAGTGTGGTCGGTGGCACCGAGCAGGCTTAGCAAACTGCAGGCTGGTGCAGACTCATTCTAAAGGACAAATGTAAAGAGAGGACAAGCACTGATAAGGAACGGTGACTTGCAGGGAGTGGTGAGGCGGGAGAAAGTTGGCTGCCAGGATGCCTTAGGCTGGCCCATAAGATAAAGAGCAGAGTCAAAGTCCACAAATCTAGGCAGAGAAAACAATCCGGTCTCTTCCAGATGTTTTGGACTGTAACTTCCATCAGCCCCAGCCATCACGACTCAATAGGAAGATCCAAGCATCTGGAAGGCATCTAGCTGAGTCCCTAACAGCAGCCATGAAGTTCTTGATAAGCATCCTCTGGTGCATAAGTAGGGATGTGAGAAGACGGTCTGGGAAACATCTGCGTCCCTTTGGTGATGTTTTCTGTGACAAGTGCAGGAAGCCAGCAGTGCTAGCAGGAAATTGTTGGGAACTGGATAAACCTCTCTCTTTAAATTTCAATAAGAAATCAGCCAAAACAAAAGTTCTTAGCACTGGGGACAACGTTGCCCTCAAGCTTCGGCCACGCTGGCAGGGGCTGATGGAAGTCCACTTTCCATTCTGAACGCAGCCCCGGTTCCTACTAATGAGCCTTTGGGAAGCAGAGGTAATGAGCCGATGGAAGAGAATGTCGGTTTCGTCACTGTGCACTCTGAAACTCATTTTAAAACAGTAACATAAGGTCAGAATTAACTCTCAGGTTAACTAGGATGTAGAATAGGCAGAACAGGAACAAGCTGCCTTTGAAGGTGTTCAACTCCAAATGCAATATGGAGATTTCCACCTTCCGTGGATAGTGGCCTGTAGTTCCACGCGGCCGGAAGACTTTTAAAATGATATTGTTGTTGTTGTTTTAAAAAAATGCTCTCTTAGCTAAGTGTATGCTAAATGTAAATCATGCTTTATAAATCATAGTCTCTCAGCCAAACCTAAAAAGCCCTATTATGTTTTTGTATATGAACCTGGCCATTATGCTAATCACTCGGATAGGCATGTGAGATGAACCACAGATCCTCTAGCTTGTTAACCCTGGTTGGTGGTTCAGCTCTGATAACTGCTGTTAAAGAGTAAATTACAGTTCTTTCAAGGCTGTATGAAGTATATCCTTCATTTTGCTGCGGAGTAATTATACACCTTGTGTGTCTCTGTATGCCTAGTTAGGTGTGCTTGCACACAGGATCAGCTATTGATCTTTCTAATGGCATTTTTATTCTCTCTCTCTGTGTACTGTTGTGATTTATTCATCATGGCTAGCTGGCTCTGTGCAGTAATCAAAGGAATTATTAAACTTCCTGCGCCGTAAAAGGGAAGGGAAGCAATAGGCTCTCACCCCACCTTTGTCCCCACTCGAAAAATATTTTGCTCCTCTGGGTTCTTTTCTGTGCTTGAAAAGAATAATGTTGCCTCATTAAAGCATTCAATCTCCTCACACGTTTCAAAGGGAGCCTGGCAGACTCCAGGGCAGTGCGCAGTTTTATTAATTGTTTCTGAAACAATATTTCCCAGCCGCTGGGTTAACCTAAGGGTCAGGGGTCCCCAACCTTTTGGGGCTGGGGGTTTAAATTTGGAATTTAGAAGCGTGTGGTGGACAGCATCCCAAAATGGCATTCCAGGAGGGGGTGCAGCAGAAGATTGGCCCATTCATAAAAGAGTTGTAATGAGACATCATTAAAGCAGAAAAGCTTCCTGCTACCCTCTCTAATTCCTCCCCCCCCCCCAACGTATGCCTCTCCCTTGTTTTTATTTGTTCTTTCTCTGGGCAAATGGGCACCCTTCCAAGAGAATCGTGGGTGCAATTACCTGCTATTTTTTTATTATTATTATTATTTTCTAAGCAACCCCTTGAAGCACGCAAGCACTTTTGCAAGTAAAAGCTATGCTGGAAGCTTCATCATGTTTGCTTTAAACATTGTTTAATTTAAGAAACCAGGTGAGTCAAGGGACCTGGCACTGCTGGTTGGAGAATTCTGGGCAGATGAGTGCCCCCAGGACCCTGCTGGGGATTTAGGCCTTGGGCTAATTGTGCAACAAAGTAGAGCAATGCTTTTCAATCGTCGTTGTTTTAAGATGTGTGGACTTCGACTCCCAGAATTTCCCCGCCAGCTTAACAACCGTGTTACTAAGTTAACAACTGCAGTGATTCGCTTAACAGCTGTGGCAAGAAAGGTCGTAAAATGGGGCAAAATCCACTTACTGGTAACTGTCTTGCTTAGCAACATAAATTTGGGCTCAATTATGGCCATAAGTTGAGGACTACCCTTTTCCCCAAAATTAGACATCCCCTGATAATAAGCCCAATCGGGCTTTTGAGCGCATGGCAATAAGGCCAAGCGCTTATTTCAGGGTTCAAAAAAATATAAGACAGGGTCTTATTTTCGGGGAAACATGGTAACTGTAGGATTCTTCTCTTGATGCCAACACCATCCAAAAGCCATGCAAAGTGGGTAAATCTGTTAGGCTTAGGTAGGTAGAATAAGAGAGTCCATTTCATCTCAGACTAGTTTTCTGCCCACTAAAGGATGGGTAGATAACATTTCTACTCCAGGATGATGAAAACATTCTTTCAGGAGTCCTTGGTCCTCTCTGAGCTTGGTGGTTTTCTTGCAGACATTTCATTATCCAAACTAGGTAACGTCATCAGTGCTAGTAAGGTGTGGGCTTTTCTCTCATCTTATATTCTAGTGCAGGGCTCCTCAAACTACGGCCCACTGGCCGGGTATGGACCATCCAGCCATTAATCCGGCCCACACGGGACCACGAGGCCGCCCTGTTCACATCGCCCCACCTACCCACCGGCCCCCACCTATCTTCTGGAGGCGAAGGAGGCCAAAAATGGGATGCACAGAGGCCCCGGGAGGCCAAAAACAGGCCCGTTTTTTGCCTCCCCAGCCTAGAGAGAGATGGGGGGAGGGAGATACACACAAGCAGAAGTCCCTCACCCTCCCCCCTCCCCAGGCAGCTACATCCCTTCACTAATCTGCTTTCCACCCCCAGGAGCATAACAAATTGAAGTTTAAATTGTGTATATTGTTTAACGGACTGCTAAATTGGCCATGACCACCCAGTCACATGACCACCTAGCCACACCCACCCAGCAGGTATGGCCCCCCCAACAGTCTGAGGGACCGTGAATTGGCCCCCCTGTTTAAAAAGTTTGAGGACCCCTGTTCTAGTGGCTTGCCCGAACAGTGTTGTTGAGGTTAGTCTTAGTGGTTCTTTGCTTGGGCTGTTTACTATTGGCATCAGTCCAACAATCAAGGAGTAAATAATACCCCAATTGAGGAACTGCCAAACAAGGTAATAGTAAACAGCCCAAGTAAAGAACCTCTAAGACCAACTCCTCCAGTTGGTCATAGGGCAAGCCACTAGAATATAAGCTGAGTGCAAACCCCACCCTCTTCTAGTACTGTCGATGTTACCTATTTTAGGTAATGAAAGGTTGGCAAGAAAGCCACCAAGCTCAGAGAGCACGAAGCATCCCCTCATTTCAACCTTGAGCTACAAATATTCTCCTTCATTGAAAAGTTCTTTGCTTCCCCCCCCCCCCCATTTCCACCTCGCCATCAGGTTTGTAGTGCTGACTGACTTGAGGCGAATAGCGAGACCTGGCAAAGTCAGGCCATATTCCTTTGCTATTTATCAAAAGCAAACAAACTCAACCAGGAAGCAAGAAAGGAAACATACTTTGGAGCTAACTGATGTACGATAAGTATTTTTTTTTTTTAAAGGTTAAACATATTTATTGCTTTGTTCCTCCCAACCACCCGCCCAGTAACAGCTTAATGGTGCCCTGTTCAGATAGGAAATCATGACCCTTAAATTGGCCCTTCTCCATAAGTGAAGTTATAAGAGCAAATCTTTACACAGAATGAGAGTGATACACACTTTAAATGCCTCGTCCTCACATGACATCAGAACCATATCAGCCTCCCAAGTTAGACCAGACAGGAAACACAACAAGATGAACAAATTCAAACTTATTATTAGAATATGAACAGAAACTTGCAAGCCTGAAAGTACAAAACTCCCACTGTCTCTCTTTACCACCTCGTTACTTAGGGTGTATCCTTTCTTAAGTTTCTTTCTTGCCCATTACTCATTTGTCTGCTCCTCTTCCCTTTTATCTGATTATTTCCTGGGCAGCTTTGTCTTCCTTCCATCTTCCAAGGTCATTCTCACATTCCATTACAAACTAATAGCTGTCTTCACAGTTATAGGTAGAATCTGAACACTCTGGCAGGGAGCCTGGTGTAAGATAAGTATGGGAAGCCAAAAAAATGACTTGTGTTCTCGGGGGCTCAGCAGATAACAGGTGTGGGATTAGCAGGATAGGAAAAAAGCTGTTTGCCTGCAAGAACCATCAGAGTCATTTGGCAGAGGTAAACACACTTTAGGCTGTCAGCGCATACATACATCTTTTTAATATCCCCCACTTTAGAAAAACCACATAGAGTGGTATCTCAGTACTTGTCCTTAATTGGTTCCGGGAGGCACGTAGAGTACTAAAAAGGACGAGTACCAAACAAATCATGTGACTTGACATGTGACCTTTTGTTTTGGTCAGGAAGGACTTCCTATCTGCCCCTTTTCCGATGTCAGCAACATTTCCAGCATGGCCGACTTCCTGTCCGCCCTCTGTGGCTGTCCCTCACTTCCTTTTACAGTGACCGTCCCAGCATGGCTGACTTCTTGCCCACTCTCTGCCGTTGACCCCCCCAACTTCCTTTTGCAGTGCCTCAAGTACCAAACAAACAACATTTTCACGTCAAAATGCATCGAGTACCAAATTCGACGAGTTTCGAAGCAGCCTAGTACCCAGGTACCATTGTATTGAGAAATGTACCGTGCCAGTACTCCTTTTCCTCTCTTTAGTGGGTTTTAAAAGAAAGCATTTTTAAAAGAAAGCATTGTGAAAATCTAGGGGACTTTCAGAGATTACAAAGTTTGCGGATATTCTGAAAGTAAAAAAGCCCGTCCTGTATCAGTTTCACTGTTAGAGAGCATTGGCACGTGCAATTTCTACACCAGCAACTTTAAAATTGTGATAATTGGAGAACTGAGAATAAATTATTCTTAGAATGTCTTGGGAAGTGTTGAGTTATGGTAGCCACAGGCTTTATCCTGTGACTTTATCCTTAATGCTAAACCATACGTTGTGGAGCCCACAGTTGGCTGCATTCATACAACATATTAAACCAGAAACCATGGTTTTCAAACTATTCTGTTTCCTTGCCTTAAGAAAAATATAATTGGTATGTATGGGCGGCCTGTGAAGCCCAGTTAGGAGCTTTCTAATAAGAGTCCATTAAGCAACCATGACCGAGCACCGGTGTCCCAATACATCTCAGGGTCACTCAGGGCATGGGTGACCATGCCAGCCAGCCCACCCTCATATCCTGTAATTCAATGTTTGTTATACCACAGCATATTTTGGGATGCTTTCTCAGTGCTCTAAAATAGCAACGAGCTCTTCGTTTTGTCATGTTAATGTATTTGTAGAGTTCCAACTTACTCAGAGCTTATGCATAGTAGGTGAGCTGGAAGTGCCTTCCCCCTTCCCAAATGCAGGTGCTTCTCTGCCCAAATAGATTTGTGACGCATATTTTGAGTGACAGGGAGCCGCAGCAGAGGGGTGAGTCACATGCGGCTTCGGAGCCGCAGGTTGCTGACCCCTGCACTAGCCCATAGACAAGGAACTACATTGTGGTTTGGTGCAGTGTGCGAATTCAGCCAAGAGTCTGCTGATTTGATCCCAAGGTGACTTGTTTTTTCCAGTCTATTCCTTTATAGAGTGGACCAGGCTTGGCTCCTTCAGTGATGACTGTGAGGCTAGGAGCTTGTTAATAAGGTTCTTAATTGTTTTCATGTGCTGTTAGCCGCCCAGATTTGGGTTTGCAACATGGGTGGCCCTAAAAATGGATTACGTAATATATAAATAAATGAAAATAAGAGCTGGTAAGGTTAACAGCCATGGGGATGCCGTACAATAAGGACGCACCAACTGTTTCTCACTCTGAAAAATCAGAAAATCTTAATTTGTTATGCTGTAAAGTGGAGAGAACGAGGAGTAGAATCTGAACTTTGGAACTGCCATAGGCATGACTTGAATACTTGAATTTGTAATTTTGGCTTCCTGCTTTATTAAGGGTTTTTCTTCTAAGTATTGTATCCACAGTGACAATCTCAGTAGAGCTGTGTCCTTGACTCTCTGGCTGCAAGCCTTCTGGTGGGAATATCACCTGGAGAAGCCTGACAGTGACCATGTTAAGCTCCTGTCTGTGCAAATTTGATTTTTTAGCATCTCCAGCTTAAAATTATTTTATATATCAGATCACAAACTTTGCTTGAAATTACAAGCAGGACACTAACCCAACCCCCCCCCCCGGGAAAGAAAGGGTATTGTATTGTAGGTTAAGTGGCTGGCTTGGTTTCCTCTTCCGGTGGAAATGTTTTGTTTTATGATTGAGTAAATAGCTCCAAGAAAAGTTAATCCTGACCCATTTGGGGTTTATTCATTAGTCCCACAAGTCAAGAGGGCTGGTGTGTTTTTGGCAGGATGCAGTCCTGATACTTCAAACTCTTGAGTTTCATCTGCCTTGTCTAGACTTTGAACCTTTCCAAAACTTATACACCTGCCAATATAAATACTTTAATAATGAATTTACCATAAGCAAATAATCGGTATTCTAAATAACAGGCACAAGAGCCTGAAGAACAGCATTATTGATCTCTTTGGTTAAGCAATGTTTAATACGCTTCTTCGTTCAAATGAGGGAAAAAAAATCGTTTTCTCATTTGAGATAAATGTTTTTAAATCTAAGAAACAGATGAATCTGTTTCCCAGCCAGCTTCTGATAAGCCAATGGGAGAAGCCAATTCACTTATTAACCGCGTGATTCACTTAACAACCGCAGGGATTTGCTTAACAACTGTGGGAAAAAGGTCATAAAATGGGGCCAAACTCACTTAACAGCTGTCTTGCTTAGCAGTGGACATTTTCAGCTCAATTGTGGTCATAAATTGAGGAATACGGTGTTTTTGGTGTTTGCAGTACTGCGAGTTCAGTATGTCGGATTGACAATCAAAGTCTGTGAGTGTATTCTGTGAGAGTATTCTGGAGAAGGATATTTTTATGAGGAGTCCTTGGTACTCTCTGAGCTTGCGGAGACATTTCATTACCCAAACTAAGTAGCATCGCCAGATCGACTGATGACGTTACCTAGTTTGGTAATGAAACATTTGCAAGAAAGGACCCCTTATTTCAACCCTGAGCTACAGATATTTTTCTTTATAAGCATTTTTTTTTAAAAAATTGGAGAGCATTTGACAATAAACGTTGCCTAAAAGGCACTGACACTTTTGAGATCTCCTTTCTATAGTTTTGATTGTATATTGGTAACTCCAGGAGAATACACTTGAGTTCCTTCAGTGTTCTCCTTGCAGCAATCCCTGTTCCCCATCAAAGAACAGACCAGTGCAAAGAGCAAAACACATTCTCATTTTCTCTCTCTCCCTCTCTCTCACACACACACAAACCACATGCCCCAACTATACTACTGACCTTGATGCATACTTCCTCTGTAATGTGTATCCGTTTTGTGCTGCTGCAATTGTCAGAGGATTTCCTAAAGAGCTCTGGCCAGAATATTTGGAACAAGCTGAAAATCTTCCTTTACAGATCCCAAAGCTCCCTCACTTTATCTGTGGAGTTGTTTTTAGAAATTTATTTGTCACATAAATTGAACTCTTTTGGTCTGCACTTGTGCCCCTGTGAATCAACACTTAACAAAAACTGCTGTGCTTTGCACATGACATAATACAACCTAATATCTCAGTCTCCGGGGACATTTGAACGTAGCTTGATCCTCCAGGTCTGTGCAGTATAAAATGTTCTTTTAGATTTACAGGGATCGGCTTTCTCTCCATGGGCAGGATTGAGAGATGACAGTCCCGCTTCAGTGTAGGTTTTAATGAGTTTCTGATCCTAATTCATGGCCCTGTTCACTTGCCCTGGATCAAATTGTATTTCTGCTGTTGAAATACGCTTCCAGGTTGATGCAAGAAGTCAAAACAGTTGCATATGCCCAAAAGCAGAACTTAAACTGATCAACCTAGTTAAACGTGTTTAAAACAGCTTTGCAAACAAGTCACTAAAACCTATGCCCAAATATGTTTGTTGATTTCCCTGTCTACTTTCTGCAAAAATTCTATATGATTCTGTCTTGCCACAAGAGACCAAGTATTTATTTAAGTATCCAACATTAGCAAATTTAAGACCGGTGGACATCAACTCCCAAAATTCCCCAGCCAACTCCCAGAATTCCTCTCCATAATGAAGAATGCTAGGAACTGTTGATAGAGCTCATCAGCATCTGAAGGTCCCACTTTAGCATTAAGTGAAATGCAGGTAGTCCTCAGTTTATGACTGTAATTGAGCCCAATGTTTCCACTGCTAAGCAAAACATTTGTTATGTGAGTTTTGCCCCATTTTACGACCTTGCCACAGTTGTTAAGCAAATCGCTGCAGTTGTTAAGTTAGTAACACCTTTGTTACTTGACTTTGGCTTCCCCACTGCCTTTGCTTGTCCGAAGGTTGCAAAAGGGGATCACATGATCCCAGGACACTGCAGCTGATCACATGATCCCAGGACACTGCAAATACATGGCAGTTGACAAGTGCCTAAATTTTGATCACATGATTACAATCATGCATTTGAAGTGTGAAAAACGGTCATAGGTCACATTTTTTTTCAATTATGTTGTAACTGAACGGTCACTAAAATGAATTGTTGTAAGTCGAGAGCTACCGGTACCAAGTACGGTATTCAGGACTACGTTGGGCTTGCCTCTGTAAACTCAAGATATTTCATGCATTGTTTCCTTGGGACCTTGATTACATCCATAATTTGGGCAAAGTAAAACATATTGTTATCTCTATAGCAGGGATCCCCAAACTCGGCAGCTTTAAGACTTGTGGACTTCAACTCCCAGAATTCTCCAGCCAGCTATGGTATGCTGGCTGGAGAATTCTGGGAGTTGAAGTCCACAAGTCTTAAAGCTGCCAAGTTTGAAGACCTCTGCTCTATAGAGTCTCAAAGTTTAAACCAGAGATGGGCAACCTATGGACTGAATGTAGCCCCTTTATTTGGAGCCCCATCTATCTTCCTATGGCCGACTGCTGAAAATTGGCAATGCAATTTCCTCCTGCTTTCAGTCTGAAAAAAAAAAAAGTAAGCAAATCTTCATAAAGGTTTTGCATGCTTAAAACATCCTTTGCAAACTTTCAGTTGCTGTAAAAAATGATTCCGCACTCGTCTATAAGCTTCTTAAGTTCTCCACAAACTTCAGGACAGATGGCATCTCTGATTTTGTAACATTGGCTTTTAAGGTTTGGTTCAACAGTGGGGCAATAAATATTCCCTATTTTGGAGTTGCAGGACCTTGTGTATTTATATACGTCTAAAACACTGCCTGTTTAGAACCTTCATTGGCCAAAACAGTGCATCCTAGGGCAATAATTTTTGAATCAACATACTGGTACCACTGGTTATTTTAAAGAATTCATCCAAAATCCAGGACCCAAGACTGCTATGGGATTGAAGTTTTGCAAAATTGGGTCTACTTTCAGTATCACCATGCCGTCACACCACTGTAATCAGCCCCAATGATATGATCATCATTTCCAATACTCCCTGCCAGCTTCCCATAAGGAAAGTCAGTGGGGAAGCCCACAGGAAATCAAAAGTCATTCCTCACTGGCTTTTTGCCTGCCCAGGTTTCTGTTTGTTTCTCTGTTTAAGTAACGAAATTATTCTGAAA